TAAATGTTCCGTCCACAGAAATGACATGTCTCATTGATGAGTGAAAACCACGTATGCTTGGTCCTAAAGCCATAAAAAAGTATTTGAATCGATTCTCATTATCAACCTCAATGAACGTCATTGTACCGAGATTATTCTTCTTCAGAATATTGCAATACTTGGCCAGTCTATCATAACTAAGATCAGGCGAACCTCTTAATAGCTCTATAGCACATTCTCTAGCCATCCATGCCTTATAATAATTTATATCTATGCCAAACTCCCGACGAATATCATTTTGAATGTTCGAAGGTCTATATATAATGTTGGGATCCTCAAACTTCGACATGATATGTTTTCCTATCATCCAACAACTAGCTTGTCTATGATCTTTGTGGCGAACATCCAATGAACAATTATGATAACGTGAATACTTTCGAATTTCAAATTTGTTACTTTCCTTCAATCGTGTTGCCCACAAACACCATTTGCAAATTTCCTCAACACATACTACTACATATGTACTCTTATTTGACTTAGTGACCTTAAATTCGAAAAAGTTTCTTACAGCAAGCATTTGTAGTGATGCCTGAAGATCCTTCTTGTTGCGAAAAATTTGGCTAACGTGCACATCATCGACGTCAGGAATCTTAACTGATGTTCCACAAGGATTCGGATAGGCAACAACTTGGGAAATGCCAATGATCTCATCTACCAATGTAAAAGGTGTATTATGAGTAACATTGTCTTCATTTATCACATGAGAATCATCTATGTAGTTGCCATGCACTACTTCTACCCCATCCTAATAATCATCACTTGTAAAGTTCACACAATCGTTTTCACAATTTTGATTACATGGAGACAACATCACATATAATTGTCATCAGATTGATCTTTTTGCATATTTAATTCATCCATGTCCACCGCTAGTTGCAACAACATTTGAATTGTATTCATGATTCCCCTGAACATTTACAATATCAACATCCATGTCTTGTTGATCAACATAACCCTTTTCTACAAGGGTTACACAAATTG